CTACCTGAAAAGGATAATGTCGCAATTGTGGAGCCTATTGAGAAATCTCCTCATCAGCGTAGAAGGGTGCGCTGATATGTTTTATAGTAGTGTTATAGTATACATGCGTAGTACGATAATGCAGCTAAATTTATATTTTAATTAGGAGCCAATGAGGAAATTACCTGTGCAAGAAGCTGATTTAACCAAACCCCTTAAATCTTCTAAAGAGGAAGTCGAAGCAACGTGTAGTAAAATTCGACAGGTAGAATTATCGGATGTACGGCCTGATAATATCACGAAACCAAAGGAAGCCATTGCAACACGTAAACCAGAGAACTTTATTGAAAGTCCTAAAACAATGCCTCCTGTCCCAATAAATTCAGTGCAGTTTCTAATAAAGTGGGGAAAATATTCCTCATCTGACTTTCGATACAGATACCTAAAAGTAAGTAACCTTTTGTACATGAAGAGTATAAGCTGGATTCAAATTTTTTTTTCTTTTAGCAAATACCGGTAGGTCGTCTGTCAGAGATATTTCAAGATTCAATGGACAGTTATACTTTCAGTGATATCCTAATGACACTCAAAACAGAATTTATGAAACGGAATGAACCTATATTCTCGTATTTAAAAGATCTCAGTGATGTTAAAAGGTTTAGAGCACTTATTATGTTCACCAGTAATGCAGAAAAGGATGGTGTGTAACGACGTACGCATTCTCCTTTTTTTACGATCGATTTAAAACTGATACAATTATAAATATTTTTAGATCTGAGGCATATGTTTTCATATTGTGATAGATCTGAAAAGATACCTGCCAAAGAAGTCGTCGACTTACAAAAGAAATATGAGCTTTAGCAAGATTTAAGTTCCAATGAAAACAAGTGTACAATAAAACAACGTAAGTTTAAACATTGTAACGGATATTGATTATATTTTTCTGGCAACTGAATAAATTTTATTATTGTATATGCTTACACTTAATCGTCATATTTCATTATTTTATGCTCATTGTCAGAGTTCTCGGGAGAAAATAATTGTATGATACCAACTTTTAAAAACTTTATCTATATTTTGACAATAAATAATATTTATTAAGTGTTATTGTATATTGGTAAATAAAGAAATTGCGCACATAAAATTGTTTATACAGGGAATTTTCTTCTAAGCTACATAATTACGGTGCAACAATTATATTTTAATTATATAAAAGTATTTACAATACGTAGCAATATAATTACATTATAAATTGCCATTAAGTAATCGTCGTATTTTTTGATTATTTTTCATAATTTGCGCTTTTACTTCACGTATCTTATCTGACTGAATCTTCATGTTGTTATCAATTTCTTTCAATGTCTCCTTCATAGGTTCTGTCATCTCTTGCGTTTCACTAATAAAACATTTTATATTAATTTTCCGAGGATAAAGGATTAGTAAAATTATTTATTGTTGACTTTATATACATGTTAAGTGTATTTTTATACATACTTTTGTTCTCTTTCCAATTGTTCGCTCAACTGACGATACTGACTTCTCCAGTCCAACAGTTCTTTTTGCATCATCTCTACATCTTCCTGGTATCAAACTTAATTTTGTACAGAGATATCGATTAAGACGTAAGACTGTGTGTAAATGTATATTACCTGTACGTAATCCAATAACTTTCCCAAAGGATTTGTTGTTCGCGTTAATGTCTGTATAGTTCCGCGTAATTTATCGATCTCCTTAACCGCTGTTTCTCGATCGCGTTGCGAGCCCGTTTCCCATGCCTGTACCAAAATGCATTTACTTAATAACAATTTACTCAACACTTTGCTACAATTGCAACAGCAATCATGACGCGAGAGTAACGGCAATATATTTTAATTTCTTACAATATCGACTTTCTTAGGCAACACATCGACATTGTCCGTGTTGACCAACTCCCTCTGCGTCTCTAATATTTGCGCCACGAGATGCCCGTGTTCCTGCATCAGTTGATTGTCTATCTTGTAATCTCCGTTCTCTAAGAGGTCACTGCCACTTCCCTTCGCTTCCATCACCACCATATCTTCCGCGTCGTCGTCGTCGTCGTCGTCGTTCTTCAAGTCTGAATTCTCCACAATAACGCTGATATTTCCTACTGGTGTTCTGCAATCGTATTTTGAAATGATTTATAACGCAATCATTTCTCGTGATATAAATTAGGGTCGTCATCTTACTGTATCTCCTCGTTGACTATCGCCTCTGTCTTTGCTCTCATTCTCGGAGCAGCCGGTCTGGCACTGATGGGTCTGGCGCTAGGTGGTCTTAGAGATGTTTTGGGTCTCGCATTTGATTGTTGGGAAACGCTAAGACAAACGTTGAATTTAATATTGCTGTCGCAAATGTCTCGATGTCATTTTGTTATCAGTAATAAACTTATAGAACTGAACATTACGTCATTTCGGCTTCGACTTGAGACCCTGCAAGCTCTGACGTTGGTTTGTCGCTCTTGTCAACACTTTGTTGCCGCGCGCTCTCTTCTTCCATTCCATTTTCCTTAGTTTCTCTAGCGTAACCACTCGTTACTGGTCTAGTTTGCTCTTCATTGTTAGAAGATGTCTGTAAACTACCTATTTTCTCCTGTAGTCCATTTACATGTGCTGAGCGTCTTGGTCTACTGGAGGCACTCCTATGTCGCGCTTGTTCTTCCCTCGTCAAGTCATTCGCATCTGCTGTAATTGTGGCGTCCTGCTTCACCTTGGCGGACGAAGAAGGCCTCCTTCTTTGCGCCGAGGTAGGAACTTTATTCGGAACCGGCTGATTACAATAAAATATAATGTAGATGCAAGCATATTAATTAAAGCACACACTTGAGGAACAAATAGAAAATTTTATTTTAATTAAAGGATCAAACAAGAAAGAGAATAATCTATGAACTTTTAATCCACGAAGAAATAGAATTTTAATTTTCTTTAATGAATATTTATTCCAAAAGCACTGTTACTCAAGCGACATTAGCTATGGCATTTTCCTTTGAATGTTTACCTCAGCCGGCGGGATGTCTATGGCTTCAATATTCTTCGAACTTTCTTCCTTCCTGTCATTCCCGCTTCTCGCTTTGCTCTCTTCAATTCTCTCATTCTTGTCATGCTTCGCTTCGCTCGACGCTACTTTCCCTGTGCTAGATGACCTTTTCTTTCGTTCCGCCGAGATCTTGTCTTTCTCCGACGACTTTCTCGTTTGCGAAGTCTGCCTCGATGCCGGTTTCTTCGACGTTTCCTCTTTAGTCGTGGATTTCGACTTTGTTCCAGCCTTTGTTTTCTTTTCTAAGCTCTTTTTGTAGTGCTCAATCGCCTCCCTGCTACTGACCTAACACAGATGCGTTATTAATTTACATTAAAAGTCTTTTCCTCCATTTAAGCAGCAAAATTTATTACTTTCTTATCAAGAGCTCTTCCAATGGCCTGCAGCAATTCATTCGTCTTTGTCGGCTCTTGACCGGAAACAATCTTACTTGCTCTGACCGTTAAATTAGCACCTGAAATTAATTCTAAAACACACAATATCCACGTATATTTAGGCACCATATAGTTAGCAATAAAACACGACAACCCAATAAAATTAAATACTGACTGACGACATCAATGAGCTTCGTCAAGAAAGCGAGCTTCGCTTCCTTGTCCTTTATATTATCAGAATTTAATTCTTCCTCGCTGAACAATCCCTCTAAGAAACCGGTCTCTTTAATGATCTGAAATCAATTTGATACATAAAGTGTCCCAAGTGCAAGCGGAAATTCATAAACGTAGTATAAATTAATAAAAAAGGATTTCAGCTCCTGAAACGTCTCTAATGAACGAGCGAGAAATTACAGCTGTTATAATGTCGTGGAGGAAGCGGAACGGCGGCTTGCGAAGCAGTTTCTCGGTCAGTGGCGGCTTCTTGAAGTATTTTCCAAGTAAGTCCTGCGTTTTCTTTATCACCTCGGCTCGCACCTCGTCCGTCATCGTGATAATTTTCCTTTTCTAAGTCATACCCCGGCTGTCACGCATGCACGGCACTCGCACGACGATCCGCGTCCAGTCATCCAGTGTAATGTCAAACGGTTGCTAGGTAACCATGACGCCACACGTGAGTACCACGTGGTCACGCGCGGTGGAGCCGGACGACTTTTTACTTTTTAATTTCTTTTTTTCGAACAATAGTCGATTGTTGGTATTGGTAGTTTGTCGGTGATGGTTAGCCTAATTAAAAATGTTGTTGGTTAATATTTTTCTAAATAAAAACATAAAATATAATGACTCGCTATCACTATAATATATAGTTAGTCAAAACTCCCTTCGACTACTTTGTTAATCAACAAAGACCATTTATAATGATCTAATTTAACAATTTTATATTGTATAGTCCTGTGTATCATATTAAAGCAATTTTATATTAAACGTATTAAGAAAAGATAAAAGTGGCATTTTATAACATTATACATATACAAGAAATACATGAAGATGTGTTGTCAGTTTCTGACCGTTTACTCGTATGTTATTTCATTGCTTTGGATTGGATTATTTGAAATAGGTAAATATTACATTCATATTGTTTAAATTAGCAAACAGAAATATAAATATTTGTGGGTCACCACTACATAGCGCAATTCTTATAGTAATATCTTTTATGTCTATCATTGTGCACATTTCATTGTGCATTATACTTAATTTCTCTCTCCCTTTCTCCCTGCTAATATTCAATATTAATTCTTATTCCCAATATTTTGCCTCTATTGCGTGCCGGTCCTTAAGCCTTAACTTGTTTTAGGGACTTTTCGACAAACTGGACCAATAATAACAGGGTACATGTGTATGTACCCTAAGTGTCGATATGTGTGCGGGTCACCTTCACCTTTGCTTTGGGTAGCGTGGAATAAACATACTTTGTTTCGATTTCAGTCTACCTCAAAATCTTCACGTTGTACACAGAATTTTTCTGCGATTTCTACATTGTAAGTTATTTCCTAAATAATTTTTATTATGAAATAATAATTTTGCAATCCTTACAGTTCGAAATGGCACCAAACAATATGAAGGTCAAGAGAAAATACGTGGAGTTGAGTGTGGCGCAGAAATTACAACTAATCGAGAAGTTGGAACAAGGCACCTCAGTGACGGATGTTTGTAACATGTATGGCATACACCCAAATACTGTCTCGAAAATCAGGAAATCAAAGTCCAAATTACAAAATTTTTTTTTAACACACAATAGTGATAGCTCTAAATTACATGCTTCTACAGTAGGGAATAAAAGACGCATGAATTTTGGGCCATATAAAAATTTAGATACAGCTCTGTATAAGTGGTATAGTCAACAAACATCCAGTGGTATTAATGTACAACAGCACCAGTTGACATCGGGGTTTAGTGCTCTTGTAACACATATGAGACTCAGTATCAAGCGTCCTGCGGGCTGGCTGTACAGGTTTAAGAAGAGACATGGCATTATGGATTCTTTGCTCGAGGCACCCTGTAGTGAACCTTCAGAGTCAGAAAAGAAAAACAGCACCGAAGACAAAGTTATTCCAGAAGAACCTATAAAAGTTGAGAATTTGCCTTCTTCGTCATCTTCGCCTCCAACTACTTCTACTCATCGCAACATTTCTAAATTAAATGCTTCAACAATAAGGAATGAAAAACGCTTGTCACGTTCGAAAAACGCAAATTAGATAAAGCTCTGTATGAGTGGTATAGTGAACATAGATCCAGTGGTATTAATGTACAACAGGTCCAGTTGAGATCGGAGTTTAGTGCTCTTGTTACACGTATGAGACTCAGTATCAAGCGTCCTACGGAGTGGCTGTACTATTTTAAAAAGAGATATGGCATTATGGATTCTTTGCGCGATGCACCCTGTAGTGAACCTTCAGATGCAGAAAAGAAAAACAGTACCGAAGACAAAGTTATTCCAGAAGAACCTATAAAAGTTGAAAATTTGCCTTCTTCGTCATCTTCACCTCAAACTACCCCTACACCTACGAAAAATTTCGGAGAATCTGTAAAAGTTGAGAATTCCTCTACGAAATCATGTTCGTCTCCGACTGATGTTTATCACAATTACGTTTGGTCGGAATATGATATTAAATCTGAAGGTTCCCTTTCACCTTGATAAATCCTCAGATGACAAATAATAACTCGCTATCACTATAGTTACAACAACGCTGTCTCTCTTCGACTACTTTGTTAATGAACTAAGAATATTTAGAATGATATATTGTAACAATTTTATATTGTATAGTTTTGTATACCATATTAAAGCTATTTTACATTAAAGGCATTATGGAACAATAAAAATGGCATTTTATAATATTATATACAAGAAATACATTAAGATAGTTTTATAAATTTCTGAGCGTTTACTTGTATTCTATTGCATTACTTAATTCAGATTTGATTATTTAAAATAGAAAGATATTACATTTACATTGTTTAAATTCATAAGTTAAAATATAAACATTTTACATTGTCTACAATTCTACATAAGATAAGTGGATGTAAATATCATGCAAATAATTTATGTTAATCTAGTTTTGAATTCCGCAGCACAATTCTTTAAAACAGGCGTAGCATGGACACGCGCAAAGTTGATACTTTATCGGCAGTGTCAGAAGATGCAGAGCAAAATAGCTCCAAAAGTAATAACGAGCGTAAAGGCGCACAAAACACTCTCTTGAAACGTTATCAAGTAAAACGCCGGCGTGGCCGCTCTCAGGTCTCTCTCTGGTGACTGCTTCGCGGGCAATTTTGTTCTTCTCCATTTTCAGGGCTCTCTTAGGGACTTCAACGACGAAAGAGAATATTGCGATGGCAGCACTGCCGTTCCTTATCGCCTAATGATATCGTGTATGTTTTGGTGCGAGGAGGTTATCCCACGACGATGAGCGTTTTGAATTTGTTGCCTGCACTATCGCGGTAATTACATACAATGACATTTGAATTATTCAAATAATAGCACTGATCTAAATTTACTGATTGAAGTAAATTATTAAGTAATAGCTCAAATAATTTGTTTCGACAAGACGATTGCTTCTTCGTCCATGTGATTAGATTGTAGATTGCACATCAGCATTGATAATTATGTACACACGGTGATAATTTAATTATCTAAATAATAATGTTTACCCATATTTACTGATTGAAATAAATTGTTAAGTAAATAGTGTAAATCATTGGTTTTGATTAGAGATGATTGCTTTTTGTTAATGCAACTTGACTGTAGATTGTATATGAGCGTTATGTAAGTGTGAAAGACTCCCAAGAAAATTGAGCTTCTGCTGCTTTTCTTCCAGATTATCGGTGCACGGTTTACCTGGCGTTCGAAACATATCGGCATGCACCGATCCGTTGTACTTCAGAGTCACCGGCGCGCTTTTGTAAGTTGCCACAGTAAATTTCTTGTAGCGTCGTATGTACACTGGGAATCGCTGATGCCTTCCCACATGAATTTCTGCACATATCAACACATTTATACATTTTGCCTATCCACACGTGGAAAACGTGTATGTGTTCTACGTGTGTCTAAATTCATATGAGAAGGCGTCAGTGACTCCTAGTGTACACTGTACATATTGCAGCACCGCAGTCATATTGTAAACCCCTTCATTTACAATCACCCTTTGTTCCACAGAGGAGAACCATTGAAGAAAAAGAAAAGATTAGACCCCGCGATTATCAGGGCGCGAGAAGAAAGGAAGAAGAAGAAGATAGAAAAGCAAATTCGTAGATTACAGAAGCAAGTTAAGCAGCTGAAGCCAATCAGCGAGTTGGAAGTGCCATCAAAATTAATAGACGAAAAGGAGTAAGTCTTTCGTACACGGGCGTATGAGACACATTGTGTGCGGAAATATAATTAAAGTTTAGTTTTGTATTCTTATACCTATGATATACTAACTGTGGAAACTGATTTCAGGCAAAGACTGCGAAAACTTCCACCGATATCGGAAGAGGAGGCGGAGTCTCGGATTTTATTGCAAAAGAGCTGGAATAAATACAAGACTCAACAGCATGTCGCTACCGTTCAGGCAATAGATTCTATCTTTTATTCGCAGCAAAGAGCGCTCGACGAACTGAGGGCGGAATCTGAGGACTTGTACCAAGAAGCGACACAAGTAATTAATTCTTAATTTTACTTAAACAATTAAACTGAGCACATAGTTACTTGTTATGCCGTAGTTGTAAACAATTTTACGTTAGGTTCCGTTACATTGATTTAAATCGTACACCTGTTTTTAGTTGGATTTAGAGCTATTATCGCATACGACGAAAGGTCCGTTAAAAACGCCCGCGATAGAAAATTATGACAGCCCTGATGGCGAGTATACGAACATCACTCGGAAATTTGACGGAGAGGAATGAGCGTTTGCTATACGAAAGAGTGGATTTCACACCAGAGAATACGTATAAATAAAACGTATATTTCCAGCTTAAAATATGAATTCATACATTTAATGTTACATGAATTCCTCATAAAATATAGAAAGCGATAGAAGCAAATAAACAATTTAGTATAAGGAGAAAAATATTTTTTCATTACTACTTAATTAAGCGACATATTACTTTAAAAAAGCGTACACAATATATTGAGAGCTTCAGAGTGGAATAAGAACTTACTCTATCTGTCATAACTCCTGAGAGAATGAAGTTTTGTTAGACTATGTTGTATATGTCAAATGTGAGAATTAGGACTACGAAGAAATCCTTTAATACTATTTGACTTCTTAATTGCATTTACGGCTTTTACAAGCTTATTTCATCACGATTTCTAAGAAACAAATTGCAGCATACAAAACTGTGTTCTTCCAAATTTTCTTAACCGTTGTCTATAGAAGTTACTTCTATGACCAGAGCTATTAACCCTATCGACAATTTGTCACGAAACCCTTTTCTATTATTTCAGATTGTAACAAGCTGTTTAGTTTCGTAAAAAGAGAAAGGATATTCGTGCGAAAAACGCAATGAAAAAAAAGTACAAATGTACATATGTATAAATAAGTATAGTAGACTCTCGCTAATCCGGCCATTCCTTGCATAAAATTGTGCCGGATTTCTGTGTGTGTGAGAGTACGTAAAAAGTTTATAGTTAATCAGAGTTTCGGTAGTTGTTTATTCTTGGCTTTCAGGCTTTCGCGGCTGTTGTCTTCTTCAGTCGTAATGGCTTTCGGGTGGTTGCCGCGTCCGTTTGCAGTGTGGTGCCGACTTTTCGCAAACTTTGCAGTTTGCATGATACTGTGATGTACCCAGTATCAGAGTCTCCCAGCCCTGATGATGCAAACTGCAATGTTTGCGAAACGTCGGTACCACGCTGCAAACGGACGCGGCAACCATCCGGAAGCCATTATAACTGAAGTTCTTTATTCTATTTAGCAAGGTGAACAAAATATATAATTTACGAACTAACTTATTTTTAACGTAAAGTTTGAATTAAAAAAAATTTTTAAATACGTTTTTCAAATATATAATGAACACCCACCTGGGCGCAATTTATTCCGCTCGGCAGAATAACAAAAAATAGTCACGATAAGCGGCCGGATTAGCGAGAGTCTACTGCGGTTCGCAGTTTTTTCCCCGACGGACATTATATTAATGAAAGATAGTAATACAAAATAAGCGTATTTGCATCAGAAGGTTACGAATTACGTGTCGGGCACGAATTGACCGACATAATAATAAACTGTATTTCTGATATAATCCTAAGCTACGATGCTGCTGATCTATATCACAGTAAAGTATATCTAGAGGAACATACATTCCAAGCGTCGCGACTATTATCGATGTTCCATAATGTCGCAAGCCCCCTTCTCCCCTTTCGTCGATTCTTTCCTCGAATAAAAACGAGTGTCCAAGAATGTCATTCTGGATCTCCCCTAGACCCTTCAGAAAGCGAAAAGGCGCCGTAAATCTTGCCGACGCCAATGATGTCGTAAATTCAAATGTATAAAAGACGCCGTAAATCTTCCAACCGCGAAGTGTCACATACGTCTCTCCCTCCCTTTATTCGTCTCCAACGACATGTTTCGAGTATCTCGCAAACCTTTCTGGAGGCAAATCGAAAGAGTATATTCCCCGACGGTCGTTTATTTAGTCGAACTTGAGCTCGCGTTTGCACATGGGACATTTGTCGCTGGTCTTCAGGCATTGTCGCAGACAGTCCGCGTGGAAGAGATGATGACAGGGTGTCACCCTAGCCTTCGTCATGCCGCACAGACACACCGCGCACACGTCATCGAACCTCTCGATCTCCTCGAGGGTCGCCTTTCTGTAGCGATTCAGCACCTCGCGTTCTCGTCGCAGCACCGCGCCTGAATTCTCCACCAGTTCCTTCCATCGCAGATACACGTTCAGATACGTGACAACCATCAGGAACCTCCAAGAGGCCGACGGCAACAGTAGAATGCTGAAGATCGCCGACACGGCGATCGTAAAGCAACGAAGTATCACCGGCGCGTAGAGATTCTCGATGTTCTCCAGCGCTTCCAGCTGCAGGAAGCCCAGGATCGTCGGGAACATCTCGACGAAGACTTTCTCCGTCGCCGAATAGTAAATCCACGTGATCACCGTGTAGATCAATGAGGGTCTGCAAAATATTAAAAGATGTTAAACCATTGAGGGGACCAAAAAGAAATACTTGGTAAAAGTCAGAATTATTAATTATGCAACGCAGCAGAGGGACAATTGTGATATTCTTAATTACTACGTGGACCCGAATTCCCGGTTAAGTTGCTCACTTGTAATGATCAAGACCTTGCTCCAGTCCGAACACAAGAAGCATGAAGGTCAATGTGACGACGAAGGTTACCGCCTTGGTCCACTCTAGCACGATCTTGGTGGCCGACATCGCGAGATGCTTGATCTTGGATCGCTCGGTCAGGGTGACGTATGGCGACCAGTCCTCCTTCTGGATCAGCTCCTTAATGTAGCTCACGCAGTAGGCTATCACGTTGTAGAACATAAGCGTGTACAGGCAGGTCAGCCTCTGCTGCGGCAGCAGCACCTTATCGGCCAGGATCAGGAACACTATCTGGTTCGCCATGACGGAGAGATTGCGCATCTTCAGGAAGAGATTCTCCGCACGGTCCACCGGCGCATACAGCCGTCTCAGGAAGCGATTCAAGGGATGCCAGGCTCTCTTGGCTCCGCCTTTTAACATCGTAATATAATCGATACAAACTGAGGGATTTAATTTTTTTGCCTCGATACGCAATAAGGGATTTATTTAATTTCGCCTCAGCACGTAAAGAATTTAATTTTACTTCGATGCAGAATACGAATTTTGCCTCGACACAAAATGAGGGAACTTATTTTGCCTCGCGCCTCCAAGAATGTTGATTTAAAAATAATTCCTGGCTTTCAGAAACACGATAGGCGACTTTCGTACGCTCAGTAGGGGATGGAACGGGCCCCTCGACGGTTCTCCATACAAAAAAAGAACAACCCGGAACAAGATTAATGCGGTCTACATGCAACGAAAGAGAGATCGACGTTCAATCCGGGTTTCTCCCCAGCCAGAAATGACTCGTCGATCGAAACCGCCATATTGACGTCGATTCGACATCGTTTCGACGTCGCTCGACGAAGAATTTCTGACTGGGTCGTATCGCGCCTTAGAGATATCGGAGATAGCTACTTTATAATTTGACAATATTCAGCGCCGAATTTCGAATAATTGCGTTTCGAAGGAGCGATTAACTTTAATTTATACTTTGAGATTACAACGTTGAAGAAAGTCTCTTAATTTATCCCTCCAAATTATAACTTAAGAAGCGTGGACTCTCGAAAGGCAATTTTTTACTGTTATAGCTCAAGCGGGCACGCCGGCATGATGAAGTAACTAACGCATATCGATGACTTCAATCTTTACACTGGCCTTATTTGCCTCTACACAAAAAGAGCGTCTATACGTGGCTATTTGCGTCCGCTGTCGGGCAAAAATCGCACGATGATCGAGACGATCGCGCGAGGCCCAAGTCGTTCAACCGATAATCATATTTTGTGGATACAAATCGGCCACGTGACGGAGGCGATTCGTAAGAGGTACAGCCTGCCTCTCGACCGACTCTCGGACGGTTGTACAAAAACCGCTTATAGCCGCTACCGTCCACGTAATTATCGGAGAAGATTATCGTTTTAACGTTTTACGCCGGCGAGGATGCGGAGGCGAGCGAAGAAAAAAGATGCGCAGACATGCAGACGTCTCGTTATTATTAAGCACAAGAACACATTGATATGCGTTCGCCACGGAGATAGATTCCTCTTCCTCCTCCCCCTACTCTCTCGTCTCGCTCCTTCTCACCGTCACGCTCGTCTCCCGCTTCCCGAAGGAGAAAGAAGAACCAAGTTGCAGAGTAGCGATAGGAGCGCGTCATCCTGAGTGATTTTCCGGAGGTGGAACCGACCAACGAACGGCGGCGATCAACCCCCCGTTGAGGGTTTTACTGGAGGATGACAAGTTGCTGAATAACGTGACGGGGCGTGCTTTACGTTAATAATCGTGAACTTGTTGCCAGCTGATGCTGATGCTGATGAGCGCGAGCGCGCACAAGAGAGAGAGAGGGCGAGGAGAGAGAGAGAGAGCGAGTCCCTTGACCAGCGTTAATTGAGTATAACGTAATTGACGTGGCTTCGATGAATGATCGCCTTCATTTTTAGTAACGAGTCCCAGAGAGACCCGGCGAGAGAGGATTTGCATATTAATGGACGTCAGTCAGGAGTCACCGACGACATGGCAGCAGGACGAGACAAGGACAGATGCCGAGGAGGCGACGTAGCGGTAGCTACGTGGGACACGTAGGTTTTACATGGCAACCGAAGGATCTCCCATCCCCCGGTCGGGGGACACCAGGACGGTAGGGTCTCTCTGCTACCTATAAAACTAACCGCGCTCCGTCTCCTGCCGTGCATTGAGCGACTTGGCATTCACGCGGCAAGGATCATCGCCGATTAGAGAGACGAGATCGAGAGACGCAGACAGCGAGAGGATTCTCAGCGTTCAGGTGAGTGCGCGAGGACGACGTCGTGGTAGACGCGACCTACGGCAATCCCTCGCGATGCTCGCGCAACCTCTACATTACTCGGACCATTTGGCGTGCACCACTAACTTTCGCATTTCAAATATGTCATTGTAATATTACGCGTTCTTACACACTCAACACAATGTTCTAATTAATCCGTTTCGATGTATCGTTCAGCTGAGACTGCACTGTTAAATTCGTAGTGTCAAATCATACCCGATTTTTCTCAACCACTTCTAAGATCGCCGTCGTTTTTAATCGATATAGGAATGGTTGTAAAAATTACTCAAAATTGAATATAATTTAACACTACGGACTTAACACTCTGTGAGACATATCGCTACTATTATACCACTAAAGTCTCAGTGAGAAATAATTCGCCGATCGATGTCGAATCGACACCGTCAAATTGACTTCTCATTTCTCGCTGGGGTAGGATTCAAATGTCAATTGGGAAGTGGACTACTCATTGACCTAGTTCACACCGAGTATTTGATACACGTATACTAACAATAATTTCATCTGATACTCCTGTATCAGACCAAGTTGGTACGCGCATCAAAAAATGCTAGCGCGTTGCAAACGCCTGAGTCGCTCAGTTCGCGTACCATTGTTAAATTCAGATTGGACGCATCCAGTAGCACCACCGCTCAGTTTGCAGCAGAACTTTATCCGTGGTTTTACTAGAAATCTAACCGGACCTGTTTTCAAATTAATCAAGTATAAACAACCGGACGTGTCAAATGTTTAACCCGCACCAACTTGATGCGCGTATCAACTGATCGAACGGTAACGGTGTAAACTAGGTCATTAGTTGAAATCCCGTATGTTCTAAATAAAATTCATCTCTAGTCAATGTTGTCTCGAACTAAAGAAAGAATCGGCGGTCTCGCTGTTAAAAATTAATTTTGCATTCCGAAGCGAAGAAAGATGAGGCCCGGAGCCGACAAGTCGGTCTTCCGCTCCAGTTTGTAGATAAAATCGAGAAACTAGGTGTCGAAGTGGCGAGGTCAGTGTGCTACGTTCATACCTTTGGCCGCCTCGGCGAGAGTCTTGAGGGTCGGGACCGGGTACCTGTAATTCGCGCTCAAAACCACCGGCAGGACGAGGGCTGAGTACAGGACCGGTGCGGGCGACGGTAGAAGCGGCAGCGGGCCGCGCGGGCAATAGGGCAGAAGGAGGACCGCGCTTAGAAGGCAGACACTTTGCGCTGTCTTCTCCTTGTCGACGGTCAGCGAGTTCGCGCGGACGCGACGCCTCACGCGCGCTATCATACCCATCTCGGCGCGGACCTGAAATTAAACGGCGAAAAATGTATACAACTTTTGTCAATATCATCCCGAGAGTTTGTAGGTTTTCTCTTGCAGCTTCGCTCTGTTTCACATCATCATAAAGATATCGCGAGCGCGCACAACAATTTTGAGAGCCCTCTCGATTTCTGTATATTTATCCGCGGTTTATTTATTGCCCTCCGAATCTGCGGGTAACCCGTAGATTTTTGACACTGCAGCTAGAGACAGTAAGTCAAACAGTTTCTCTTCCGGCAAGTTATTTTCGGTGTACGGAATTTCTTCTCGTTTTTCTCAGGAAGGAGCCGTCCACGATTAAACAACGAGCCGTTAGATATTATTGTAAAATACAGAGCTCGGTTTCTGAAATATTATGTATAAGTCGAACCTTTTTCTCTACCTCCGTAAAACTTCGCACGTCGCGTAGCATCTGCAACGTCAAGAGGTACCTATGCGATGTCAGATGAATCCATTGAAACGTGTTCTTCAAAACTTTATCTTATTATTTAGAAGATTGATTAATCATATCTGCATTATTGTTACGATTATAATGCGGTATAAGAGCCCAAGGAGCGCCAATGCGCGTATAACGTGCGTTTAATGCGCATTTTACTGCATTGGCTTCTAAACTGCATTAATTGTGTGTTCAAAATGCGCGTTTTCAAATGCGTAATTAATGCAAATTGTATGTACACCTCGAAATTTTCTACAACCAATGGCGAACGCAAATCGCTAGGTCAACATTCATAACTGATTCTTATATTTAAGACGGTCTTAAATATAATCTTGAGTTCGAAAGCTGTTGCCTTT